GTTTTAAAAGTACGTTACTCAAAATAGGAATCTGATGAAAGTATATTACATTTTAATGCAATTTATACAATAATCAAAATAATTTTAATTAACATATTATATTATCTTGTTTGTATTAATATACTATATCATCAAATATTTTTTTAATTATATTATAAAATATTGTAATTGACTAATTAAGACTGATATGTAACAAGGAACAAAACTTATTTTAAGGTAAAAAAATGAAACAAAACAAATCAATTAAGGACCAAATCATATATCTAAAAAGGTTTCAGTGGAACACAGACGAACAAAAAAGATTGAACATATTTTTAATCGAAATACAATAAAATAAGTGACGAAGTGGAATACATCTTCAATCGACAGTAATTGATGAATGTCTGGTGACAGGAGAGAGGCTGGAAGAAGTTTTAATCGACACCTTATCTTTTCTGAGGAAGGCTGGAGGTTTATTTATTAGAAGGGGATATAGGCAAAAGTGAGGGCTTAATATGGACCACACCCTTTCCTTGGTTGGCAAAATAAGATTTCCATGGGTTGTGCGATTAAACCACAACCAAACAGCGTGAAAGAACATATTCACACATGTGCATACAATAGACAATGGTAGCACATTACAGAACTGCATGGCATAAACAAGAGAATATGCATATCCCCACATATGACCGAAAAAAACAATCAGTGTGCGCATAAACAAAACATATAAGCTCTTTTCACTTGAAGGGGTTATGTAATTACCAAAGGGCTAAAAAAGGCCATTTCATTTAATTAAGTGTTACAAGTGTGGAGTCAAAACCATAGAACACAGTCAAGTTCTGTTTAGAGGCTGAGGAAACACTCTAAGCTATCCTTAATTCATCTGCGTTATAAGTTCATGAAAAACCAAATAAAACACAGTTAGGGATAACAATATCATCTTGAATGACACAACATAGAAGGGAAAGGTGTACAAAAATTAGAAAAGATACTTTGAGTTCAACCCTTATCCTTCTCGACTTTTACATGCGTTCCACAGAACGCCTCTACTTCTTCAATCTATAAAACATGTCCTCCAAATCATAAATCAACCAAACAATAAAAATAAAGCTATAATGTAGAGCACATGTGTGCCTTTAATCATCAACCATGAAAACCCGCATTCCTCGACATCTCTTGATCAACATCTACCTGTCTTTCAACTGGAATTTCTCCGCCATAAACTCGGAGAAATTATTAATCTTGAAAATGGGGCAAGATTACTTTATTACTAAAACCCTAAAACCTCACAATTATCACCTTAGGTTGAAAAGTTCACACCTTCCTTGGTCATAGAAATTACAACTACAAACAATATTTTCAACCCATAACACTCCTTTTTCAGTTCTTGAGTCAATAAAAAATATTAAAGAATTGAAAAATATTAGACAAAACGGATAAGAAACTACTAGTGTTGAATAAAAGTTTATATATGACCAACAAACACTCATTGGTTCGAACGAAGAGAAATGATGCATATGACCCAAAGATCGCATTGTAGCTAAGCTGAACTGAGAAATAGAAAAGCCTTACAGTAGCCATTGCAATATTAATTTGGAAAAAAAAAATTAAGCCTTACACATAGCCATTACAGCCATCAAAGCCACATAAACAAGATTAGAACCACCTTGATCTTTGATAGAATACACCAAATTTGAATTAACTTCCTATTATGTACCCCATTGAGATAATAAAACTAATGTTACCAGCTGTTTGGTAGTAACCATGAGAAAGTGGAAGCGATCCCATCAATACCCATTTTCCCAATTTCAAACGA